CCGGCCACCGCGATCACCGTCTTGACGGCTCGCATTCCAAAGTCGTAGTGGTCCTAAAACAGCCCGGGCGCTGATCGAAATTGTTTCGGGGGACCAGCAGCGAGCCGCCCCCACAGCATCGTGCGAGAGGGGCAGACCCGCAGTCTATAAAGTTTACGGTGAATGTCACCGTAAGTTCCAGTGAACCCCGCACCACCGTAGGTTACGCGGTAAATATTTACCATAAGCTACGGCGAATCAGGGTGCAACCGTAACTTACAGTTGTATTCAAGGTATCTCGCTGTGACGGTTCACTGCCAGAAGTTTTAAGACAGTCTCACCTGCGAACTAAGCTGCTCCGAGCTCAGCTTGAACGTGGTGGTGATCTTGTTGGCCAGCTCGCGAGCGTTGCTGAAGCCGAACGAGAAGAGCGATATCTCGGCGATGAGCGTGTAGTTGGGTACCATCATGGCGACGGGGCGGAACAGCGCCTTGAGGTTGTCCGGCAGCTCGGTGCGGCCCGCGTAGCCCGGGTTCATGGTGATGAACACGGCCGCGGCCGCCTTGAGCGCGATCTCCACGCCCTCGAACAGGAACCTTCAAAGGACGGGATGACAGTAATAAAAAAAGCACAAGACACTCTGAATGTAAAGGGGCAATTGCACTGTTAGAAAAAGTTCCTGGATTTCACGGAGGAACATTAGTGAAAAATATTGCGATTGCCAAAGTCCTTTGGGATTTCCCAAAGGACTCCGTAGGTTTCAGGTGACGAATTTAGCTTTGTAACACATAAACGACTAAAAACTCGCCTCCGTCAACAGCTGTTTTGCGACATGAAAACTAAGACCGGGGTCCTCTGGGAATTTCTAGTTGTGGTTAAGAGTGAATCTTCAGGAAATCCCAGGAAATTTTTAACAGTATTTGTAACTAAAAAGGCAACATCGCGAAAGGATACAAAATTGGCCCTTTACACTTAAGTGCACGGGTATGTTATCGCAGAAGACAATGCTCCTCGCGTTTCGATGGGATTTGACTTCTCAGAAATTGCGAGCAGTAAGGAGAAACCAGAGAAATGAAAGGTTGTTTGTCTGTTTTCCCTTTCTACCCCCGGGGTAAGGAAGAAATGAATCCGGCGCTGCGTCCCCTGGCACCCCGCTCCCCACAGCCCGGGGAGTGATCCTCCCACCGTGTTTCTTTCCGTTTCTTTTCACCC